TGACCGAAATAGAATACGCTACGCTACAATACAATGCAATACCCAAGGGAAATTAATTTTGACTAGGAGAAAGAGATTTCAGAAGGGACAGAAGAAAGCAGAAAAGACTACTGCATGGGAATCTACAACTTAATGAGTGCTAATGGGAACAGTTTTTTTTTAATTTTGCTAATAAACAACTCCAGTATTGTTCACCCAACCTCTACTTTCACAATTTGTCAACTGTCGTATCCTACCTATTCTACTTTACTGTTCCCCGTTAGTCTTTCCTGGGTTACTGAAAAAGGACTATACCATCCTGAGAAGGATGTTGAAGGTAGTTAGTAGGACTAGCGGTGTAAAACTCAGTCAGCTCGTCACTTCATTAGTAGATAAGCATCTGAATACATGCGAAAAATGGTATAAAACCATACTCCCCGACCCTCAGCACCCCCCTTTATTCCTAACTCTCTCCTTGTATCTCATCAGGTAGAACCAGAAATCAGTACAAAATAATATATGCTCATACAACCAAGTATAGGAACTCAATGATACCATATTTGGCCAGCCCGTGTTCTAAGTGACAGAGACAATGTTAAGCGCGAAACCTATGACTTGCTTTGTTGTTAATAACATAATTTTGGTCCTTGTTATTTCCCCCCTTATACTCTCTTATTTGTACTCTATAATGGACAACCTTCTTAAACATACTTAGCTACCTAAATTATTAACATTGGCTTACTTTTTTGTACTTTACTCTATTCCTTCTTTTGTGTATACTTCTGGGTCCGACTATATTATCACTATGAGTATTACAAAATTTTCCTGTCATTAACCATCATGTAATATTAGTTTTGTGATTGTTATTTTTGTTCGGCACTATTTAACTGACAATCTTGGTTGTGAACGCCGTTATCACCATTCTAAAATTTTTGTATTATGCATGATTACTCACACTACCACTACGAATACCGCATTAGAGCTGACAATAAAAAAACACTTTGAAAGAATCGGTTGAGATGTTGTGTGAGGGAGGTGTTGACCAGATGTTCAATAATGGCACTTCTAATTGAACCAGTGCCTCCTCTTTGCAGCCACGCTGGGTAGTGTTCTCTAACACGTTTTGAGAGGACGCGCATACAACGACCTATGTATCTAGCTCCGCACGAGCAAGTGAACTGGTATGTGCACATTGAATTGGTCATATGCGAGAGTTTGTCCTTCGTGTTGTTTCAAAGTATTGAGCGGCTAGAGAATGTCACTCTTAGTGTTGATGCAGGGAAGGTCTTCTTTAAAGAGTTGGATGTTCTCCTCTTCAGGATATCAGCTGCCAAATCTCCCTTGAAATTCAGATTTAGATACAGCGTTTTCTTTGGCGCTGAATCGCATTCTTCTCTTTTAGATTCAGGTTTCATGTCCTTTTCGACAAAACGTGTCAGGTAGCCATTTTGAGCCAGGATATTTATGAAACCAAAAACTAGAACAGAAGAATGTGATTCAGCGCCAAAGAAAACGCTGTATCTAAATCTGAGTTTTAAGGGAGATTTGGCGGCTGATATCCTGAAGAGAAAACATCCAACTCTTTAAAGAAGACCTTCCCTGCATCAACACTAAGAGTGACATTCTTTAGCCGTCCAATACTTCGAAACAACACGAAGGACAAACTCTCGCATATGACCAATTCAATGTGCATATACCAGTTCACTTGCTCGTGCGGAGCTAGATACATAGGTCGTCGTTGTATGTGCGTCCTCTCAAAACGTGTTAGAGAACACTACCCAGCGTGGCTGCAAAGAGGAGGCACTGGTTCAATCAGAAGTGCCATTATTGAACATCTGGTCAACACCTCCCCCACACAACATCTCAACTGATTCTTTCAAAATAAAAAAACAACCTAAAATGTTTATTTTATGATTGTTTAGTGTTGTTCAATCAAATTAACTGATCATCATGCCAATAAACATTCTTAAATATCATTTCATAATTTCTTGTATGATTATAGCTTTACTGTTCACCACGCATACACATATCATAGCTTCACTACCTAACAATGAGATATTATTTATTATGTTGTTTAGTTTCCATTCTACTTCTTGGTAATTTTTTTCCCATCTTTTGCTATTTTGTGTTTTTTTGTTTTTGTTGTTGTTTTTTATATTTATTTTTTGTAATACTCCTTTTAAATGTTTGATAAAATTAAATACAATATTGTAGATAATTACTGATTATTCCACACTGTACCACTAGTACTGTTTCTGGAATAAAGTAAATTATTGAAATATGACAGAATGGTTATCCAAAAAATTTCATCAAAAAGTGTTTAAAGTCGATTCAAAACACCAACAAAGAACCATCATCAAAGACCAAAAGAAATTCATCCTACCATACATCAGAAATATCTCTTAATAACGGCTAGAATAATGAAACCATTTGATATAGATGTAGCACACAAACCAGCCGAATCGCTTAATTCGATCTTATGCAAATCAAAAGATCCAACAGAAAAAGGAGATAAAATTAACACCATTTACAAAATAAATTGCATGTATGAACTGTAACAGACATTACATCGGCCAGAATGGGCGTCCTCTTTGAATAAGAATCCAAGAGCACAAATAAGCCGTGAAAAGACATGATATAAATTCTTTAGTATCAATGCATACAGACAATTGTGGACATTAATTTGATGATTGGGATGATGTCTAAATTTTAGACAGAGGAAACACCAAAAATGCAGTCAGGGAATTCCTAGAAGCCTGGTACTCAAACGAAAATGCAATGAACAAACACGTTAATATAGATGAAATATATCAACTAATAAAAAGTAAATCATGTGACGGGAAAGTTTAAAATCCAAGTCAATAGAAAACGGTTTATACATATGTAAAGATGGTTACCGAGAGACGCAATTATATCACTCATGAAGAAATTTAAATCATTTCACTTTATGCAAAATACTGAGCTGAAAATGTCGTCCAGATAGACGATGAAAGCTCCGCAAATAAACCAACCAGCTCAGAGAACACTATTAATTGAAAAGTAAATTATTATTATTCTTCCTAACAGTGGGAATATTCTTAACATTGGGTAATTTGATTTCGTGTAAACACAGACAAATATACATGCACACACGCAGATACAGTAATATATACATTTACGGATGACGTTTCGAGAACAACTGTGATTACTGTTCATAATTATCATCATCATCATCGTATCGAGCTGTGGTCACTTACGCGATAAACAACATAAATAAAACCACTAATTAGTACGTCAAAAAACTCTAACTAACGAAATAATGAAATGGATAGAATAAACGACAGAGCTGAATAATTCCCGTAAAATTCATTGGGGACTTCAAAATAGTGAAACTATTAGGCATAGCACAGATAAGGAAGAACTTATGGCATCTACAGTAGTTTTACCATATAAGGAAGGGATATCTGAAACGCTTATTAATTTCTTTTTTTTATTACAGCTTGATTGCACACCATATTTTTTGGTACATATATGGAATTTTCAGCATGTGACACCAGTAACCGAAATTTTGCAGGCCGATCATAGATATAAGGTGTGCGTCGGCAGGGGATCGAACCCCGGACCATGTGCCTGGTCGGCGAGACTCCTAACCATTGTGCCACCGACGCAATATTAAGTACATCGAAACACTTGTGTCTAACAGGAGGAATTAACTGGAATATTGATTTTCTGTATGTTCTTTCATAGTGGACAGTGATTATCAGTATGAGGTCTACCATACTGCGTATGAAGATTGATAATATTGATCAGTGACATCCCCTGGCTGTAGAATAATGCCACCGGGATTGATGGTCATCATGATTCTTAGATCATTAGACTTTAACTGCTTTTATGGCTGTGAGACCTGGCCATTGAGAGTAGAGGATATGAAAAGCCTGGCTAGCTGTCTCTGATCATAGGTAGGTGCCTGTGTTCTATCTCCCATGTGAAGTGGTATAACAGGGTGAGTAATATTGAGGTTAGGCGTCGAACGTTAGGTAGGTGGCAGGAGAAATCAAAAGACGAGGCTGTGAAGCCACATCGACTGAGATGGTTAGGACATGTGTTACGTATGCCTAGTCATCGCCTTCCTCGACGGCCAATGTTAGCTAACATAGGGTCAGGCAATCGAATCCATGACAGTTAGTTTTAGCCACGTAGATAGGTATAAACTTCCTGGTCAGGATCCTTGGGACGGTAAACACCAATGAAGGCTGGAGAAAATCAGTGATACGGCTCAAAATCGTTCTCAACGGGTGCAGGTGCATCCACTCCTTGTGACTTATAATACCCAATAAAACTATGTGGTTCTTTGATAATGCTATTCTTTGGCCTCATATCTCTGTTTATTATCTCTCTTTCGTTCTGTTTTGCATTTCTTCTCACTTTCATCTCTTGCTTTGAGTGCTACATGGGGTGTGACGACTTGAACTGATGCACATCAGTGCAAAGTTCTACGTTAAAACCAGCCAGTCAGTCAGACTTAAACTCATTGGTTGAATGTAAAGATAATCACTACATAGGAGGAAATCTTCCTTGGAGTGAAACACTCTTGGTCAGTGGTGTTCATTGACGAACAGTTCCAAGGTTACGACGAAATGTCAGTAGTGACGAAATCTAGCAAGTGAAGTTAATCCGAATCCCTACACACAAAACCCACATGATCGAAAAATCAGTCAGTCTCCAGGACATTGACGACTAATGGATTTATGTTCTAAATCTGTGCTCAGAAGTCATGACCAGTGACGGGCACCATGTGAAGGTGACGTCGATTGATGGTAGCTCTGTATCACAAAATCAACAGAATTTACAGTTCACGGGTAATTGAATTTCTGCCTTAAATGACCTGATAAATTGTAGGTCTCGGGGTTCGACCACTGGTGAGGTTGTAGGTGTACACACTGATGAAGAGCCCCACAAAAATAGGACGAAATAATCAGCTATCCACTACTCCCTACTTGGTTTGCGACGAAGCAATAATCAGTTGTTTTTTTTACACTTACAGCAATAAACGCTGGATCCATATCATTTTTCACCATATATGTCTGTAATTCTTCTATTGTAATTGTCTCTAAAATTAGAAAAACAAAAAAAAAGTAAATATCAATCAATTAATCAATAGATCGATTAATTGGTCAAGTGACCAATCAAAATTTACGAAAATATTCAGAGGAAGATATCTATTTATATGTATATGCATAAAACCGATCGATGAAATCGATTTTTCTGTTGTTTTTTTTCTCTGTAATCAACACACGCAGATTAATTAACACCACAGTTAGCCAAAGAAAATTTTAAAAAATACTTTTTTTTCTCAGAAGAAACTGAGAAAAACAACAATAACAAATTTGTTTGTGATAATTATCAGATTTTATTGTGAACATATATTGAACGAATTTGCAATGATATGCAGCATTAGTATGGAATACTGTAAGAAAATGAACGACAATCGATGTTCAAAAGTAGGCAGGCTAACAGGCTATACAATGTAGATATCTTGGGTTGTTCTCTTGGGTCCTGAATGAAATATTGGGGCTTCACAACAATACATCTGTATTTTATCCTGTTCTTTCTAGTTAGTTGGTGCTATCAATGCCCACTGGCTCTCATCTTCTCTTCCTACGATCTCCTTCATGTCACTCTCGAACCTAAGTCCAACTCGTTTGTTTCCCATTCAGGTAAGACTAGACAAGCTGGCACGTAATGTCACTCCACGGTATCCTCTGACAGTGTCCAATCCATTTCTATTTCTATCTGCATATTTTAGTGGGCAATAAGTTCTCGGTTGGTTTATTGCCTATCAAACTTCCATCTTCCTAAGCCTTTCTACTCATCTGATCTTTAGTATGATGCTATGGGGAGTGCGTTCTAACCAATTGAGTGTCTAAAATTTAACTATGTTAATGAAAGCGTTGCAATTAAACTATCAATTTCAAAAAGAGTAGTTTAAAAAGCATTCCGATCCTGAGCTCTGTACAAAAACACATGATCATCCAAATAACCTGTGAAAATCGATAGCAATCTTAGGCTGGCCATCAAAAATTCCTGTATGTCAATCAGATGAATGAAAAATATCTAACTGATATTAATCCGTGGCCTAACCCGAAGAAAAAATTAAATCCTTACAAATCAACTCTTGCTCGAGAACGCCTCCCACAGTATGGCTAAGTAAAGGTGTAGTGAAAACCATTAACAGTTCAATATTGAACCATCTGATCAAACAGGCCACAAAGCCAGCCAGAATTGAAGAATGCTTCTCTATCATCTACCGCGTGCCTAATAAATTCCTAAAATCATCATAAAAGCATCGCATGCTCCAAACAGTGGAGGCTATTGCAATTCGCCTGAAACAACCAGTGCTCTGTGTTCAAAAGAAACAAGTCCAGCCAGCCACTACTACTACTGCCCTGGCTGGCCTTCAGTAGAGACTATAAATTCGTCAATTTGTAATGTCATCTTTCATAATTTTTCTGACATTCAGCTTATTTTATGTTGATGCTATTGAACTGTAATCCATTGATATTATTATTGATTAGATGTTATTTAAACAGCACTAATGTTGTTCATAACACTAATTCATTCATTCACTATAATGTACATATAACTGTAGAAAAGAGTATTCTTTGTTCAATGTCCATTCTCTTGAAAATTAATCTGATGCTCGCTAGTGACTTGCTACAGGACAAATTTGTCTGGATTTCTAGTGAGATGTCGTGACCATTGGAGTTCATCCAGTCAGGAGTGTAGATAAAGTTCTCGCCGATGACATTGGTTGGTGCCAGTTGCGCTAAAATCAGGTTAGAATTCATGGACTAACCATTAAATTGGGTCCCAGTGACTCAATGGTATACGAGTTTGCCTTGTTGTAACGAGAAAGTCCTTAGTTCGAACCCCGTTTTGGGTTGGGTGGGTACTGCCGATGATTCCCGAACTAGGATGGATGAAACAGCTGTTCAGTACTCCCTGGTTGGTTTTCAATGAATCTCTAACTAACACCAATAATCCATGGTCTAACTTGTAAAACAAATCAAATCCTTGAAAAATCAATTCTGGAAAATATCTATTCCCTAGAGTTTTGTATAACACTGGTTGCCTAGATGATGAAAAAATTAAACTATAACAGACATCACGATATATATATATAGCGAGAGAGAGAGAGACTGGAAACTTTAAGACGACCGATCATATCACACATATATTTCATATATGCTGCATCCACATTTCTACCTCACTGGAAAGGAAAGAAAAACTGTCCACTGTGTAAGTTAGACTGTTAATGTATTTTCAGAATAAAACTTATACATACAAATTAATTATTCATAAAGTTCTTTTTCCGTGATTGTTACTTCGAGGTCATATTTGAAGGTCGCTTGTGGCGGTCACTTTAACTTTTCTGTGATGTTTTAAAGTCAAGTTAAACTACCACAACCAAAGGCAAGGTCGGTGAAAAGTTGATACTGAAAAAAGAGGCAATCACATCTCGATGACACTATGAAAGGCTATTCAAAATTAAATCTTACCCACTTTGATAAATTTGATGAGAGTAGGAACTTTTTTCCTGCGAATCAGCATTGTCAGGCTGAGGTTTCGTTGTTTTTAGGATTCAGCTTAGGTCTGGAGTTTATGGTTAAGGGCAGGAGAGCAGTGTCAGGAGTATCAGTGGATCTTAAAGTACCATAATCTACAGACAACTAATAACTAATCATTCAGGCAAAGTTCAACAATAGCGCCCCAAGGGATGAGAACGCACGAGTTACTTTCAGCCGACCAATCATAAAAATGAGGAATTTTCCCACAAAAAAATGACGTATATTTATTTACAAGAAAATGCATGAAAACACATTATTAAATAGGGTATCTTTCTCTGACATGACTTAAATATACGTTCGAGTTATAATGAGGAGTGAATCAGTTGCTAAGTTACACTAGTTTATGTACATGTATTCACCAAGGTGATTGAAGATGAGTTGTTTTTGTGAACCGTTCATCTCTCTTATCCTGTTATGCAGTCCTCCCCAAAGCCCTCGGTAGAATTACTACGGTTTCCGGTAAGAGGATCGACGACCACTTTTACCAGGAAAATGTGGATAATAAAACAAATTAAAATAAATGATATCAACTCTAAATCTATAACTAATCGTAACCCTAACCCTATTCATAGCCCTTATCCAAACCATAATTCTAATCCTGATCCTAAACCTAACGAACTATTAACACATTGTCGAAACAGTAATTAAAAACGTGATCTGAGTGAAATTTGCTGCTTAACTGGTGAATAGCGTTGATATTTTAGCTATGATAATGACAGGTGCAGTCAGTCAACGACTAGCGTGCATTCAAGGTCAGTGGAGCGTTCGCTCTCCTGGGACGCTATTGTTGAACTTCGCCAAATGAATTATACAGTGTATAGGCTTCTTATATGATGTAAGTGGAGGCGGCATTTTTGTAGTAGGATTGGTTACAGATGCCAAAAAACATTTTAATCTGTTATTCTGATATGCTTTTATTCCTTCAACAGAATTTCTGTGAGTGCCAGTTTAAGGATCCACTAATCCTGATGACTGACTGATTTTATGATGAATATATCTCCTGATGATCATGAAAACGATGGTGACAGCCACAACGTCCAACATTTCAAATGGATGTTGGTCATAAATCTTCAGTGAAAGTTTTACCTTAACCTTAAAACACGACCCTAATTCTAATCGGAACTTATGCATACCCTACTCTAACCCTAACCTTACCTACACTAACCTCAATAGTAACCCTAACTCTAAAGCAGGGTGAAACTTCCAACAAAGAATATCAAAAACATCCTTTTTTCTAATGTTGCGCTATCTGATTGGTTGGTTCAAGGTAATCCGGCTGTGGTATCTATTCTTTAATGTTGCCAATTTGATAACGCTGTCAGTAAGAAAGCCAATTGGACACAAACAGGCAACACAAAGCTTTCCTGGTCCTGCGATAAGCCATCCATGTATATATATATATATATATATATATATATATATATATATATATATATATAGAGCATATAATCAGGAAAATGCAATTTTATATATGTTCAACCCACAAACTCCATTAGAAACAAGCTTTGTCGGTTAAAGGATCCTGACAGGGGAACCAATTAAATAAAACAGATGATTATCAGGTCAGATACATAGGTCAAACTAGGAGAACAGGGGCAGTCAGACTAGCGGAGCAGAAAAACCTAGCAGCGAAATCTAGATTAGTTGATCCGAATAAGATAAGAAATCTGGAGAATAGTTCAGCTATAGCACTCAATACATGCAATTACACACAACCAACCATAAAACAGGATGATGGGATAAGATGACAGTTTTAAAATCTAATGTCACAGGGTATAGGGAGAGATTGATAACAGAAGCTTTGTTTATCGAATCAACTAGGAGAGAATACGTGTAATAGGAATGATTCAATCAATACCTGTCCACCCAGATATCTGGAAAATTCTACTGTTCTAACGACAAATAGGAGAGAACAAAGAAAACTATAAAACTCAAGTTCCGGAGATGTGTGATTATAATTAACGGGCAAAGTTAAACTTTAAGCACCAGCAACTACTAATGAATGAATAACCTAGAACGCACTATTCATGTGAAAGAGGTATTTTTGTGTATGGGACACATATTTATTCATGAATAAGATGCATAAAAACTGTATAATAAAAGTGTTACAGAGGAGAGCAAGGTAGCTCTCAGTTTTAGGTTGGAGTATCCTTGTGGATAAAATTTATTTTGCTAAAGCCTCACAGTATAATACAGTTATATTTACTAAGCAATACATTGGGCTTGAAACCTGGTCATCAGTAAATATTACTATATAACACACTGTGAGACTTTATCAAAATGAATTTTATTCAAAGTGCAATTATACTCTACCGCCACAGTGCACAAGTTCTATTCTTATATCAATAGAGTAACTTTTAAAACCACATTCTATGCGTGTAACTATTTAGGTTTTCTAACCCTAACAATAACTCTGATCTTTCCTGCACCTAACCCTAACGTGAAAATATGACAAAACTAACCCTAATGTCCCCTTTAATAG